TCAAGACATTGACGTACGTCACGGTGTGCTTGCATAGGCTTGCACTGTGCAGTACTTGGCCCGCAGGATTAACATTAGTTGGTTTAAGTACCAGCATTGCTTGGTATGACTGCTATCGTTAGTACTTGATGCATGAAATGATATCAGTCCTAGTTAACATTTAGTACTGCTGCTCGATGTGCTATGATTAGTGAGAGGCATACGATACTTTGTACGATGCGAATGAAGGAACTGTATGGTCAACGCCGTCCAAATACAATGACTACCCAAAGCGGCACGACCGGCATCTGCCAAATTTCAAACTCCTCGCTTCGCCTGCCAAATCACTCCGAGTTCGACCAGTTTGAGTATGTCAAAAAATTCTCAAATTGACGCATAGTCAGACTGGTTACGAGTCTAATACTCATGGACATGATCACAAGTTGCCGTTCTACCGTAACAATACGCCAACAAAACAGCGCTGTAGGCACTTGACCTTAAGGTATGACACGAATTTTGTTTCAGTGCTGTCGTATCATATAGTTCGCAGACCTTCGCAGGGCAAGTGCCCATCAGATCTTACATTGGTCGTTACTAATCGGTTGTATAGCAACAAGAATCTTCTTGATATTTCAAGCTGCAAAAGCTGTACACGACAGCACGCTTTTCGAACACATCATCATTGAGGTTGATCCCTCGAAAGGTGATACTAATAGATCGTATGTGGGAGTGAATCAAGAAGTGCGGCCTTGCAGGATCTTCTCCATATTCCAAATCTCGCAAGTCTCAATCCGTAGGAGCCTAAGGCTGAGCAGCACACCCAACGACACCCTCGAATTGATAGACCGGTGACCAGCCCATTTATGAGGCAGGGCTGATCACGTCTAGCTCGAATACGTCATCATGATTTAGGTTAATTTCTCGAAAGGCGATATAGTAGATCTTTAGATTGAGTATAGCAACGATCTCGATATATAGATCATCATCTCAGAAAGTCTCGAGGCTGCAAGAGCTCAACGGCACGGTCGCGGTGTCCGCGCAGTGCGCATGCGCTCGTGCTGAGTCTCGCGGGCGACCTTCCATGCGAGCAATTGAACGGCCCGACCGGGGACGGTTTTCCTGATCCGACGACTACCATCATCGATCTTGAATGCGCGCAAGAGTCAGCAGACACCATATATGCTAACCACCACACCCTCTGCTTGCTAGCAAATCGGGAGCACCTCTTCCATTTCTATTGATCAGTGACGAAGGGATACTCTTTTGTGGGAAAATCACCAAATGCTGCCAGCAAGTTTGCCTCCGCTGAGCAAAGGTGGTCATGCAGCACACTGCAAAAGATGCTTGTCCGGCTTGCCATCTTCCCAAGTGGATATTGATCCGGCCAAGTACTCGATTCAATTATAATCTCGATGGCAACTATTCTAACGCGATCATCACAGGCTTGCCCTATCCTTTTACTGCCTAGGCTCCCTGGATGTTTCGGGTGAACTCGAAAAGAAGACTAAGGATTGGGAAAGAGAACAATGGAGGGAATGGATTTGGAGTCAACAAACTCGTGAGCCAATTCTGAGATCCAAATGTATTGGAGAATCAGTGAGCGCAATCACCAGGCGGACATCATGGGACCGGCTTCCGAGCAAGTTCTTATATGACTGCAAAACACTCAGTGAGAATCAGCCTTCGTTATATAGACATAATTAATTCCAGTCTGAAGACAGAGGAACATTCAGGCCATGATAACCCTCAGATCATCATGACTTATACTGCCCTTCTCTCGCTGTCCATATTGCGCGACAACTTTTCACGTCTTGACAGGAAGGGCCTCCTGGAATTCCTCAGGTCCTGTCAGAACATCGATGGAAGGTAAGTCCCTACATCATGTCAGGCACTTTCAAGGCACAGACCGAGGGTCCTAGCTTTTCTTCTGAACCTTTAGGGGGTGACTCTGATCTACGCACGACGTTCTGTGCTTTCGCCATAAGCACCATGCTTGACGATTGGTCAGGGATGGATGTTGCAAATGCTCTCCAGTTCATCTATTCGTGCCGGGTAAGTTTTCGATAACTTTATGTCGGGCGCTGTTCTAACAGCCGTTCTCAAGACATATGAAGGAGGCTATGGGCAATCACCATTTGGGGAGGCTCTAGGTAGCGCGCCATGCCGTATGATGTGATAAAAGCTCACTCCACCTTTGCTCCTTAGGTGGTACTACGTATTGTGCACTGGCAGCACTCCGATTAGCCACTAAACAACTAGACCCTCTTTCCCTTCAAGATCGACAGAAAACCGTTCGGTGGCTTGTACAAAATCAAGCATATAATGGCGGGTTTAGCGGAAGGACTAACAAGGATGCTGATGCATGTTATTGTTTCTGGTGCGGCGCATCCCTGCATGTAAGTTCGTAGTGTTTGATCAGGTCGATGGAAACTAAAGCAATTTTTTCCTGTTCCAACGCACCAGGTGTTAGATGCAGGCGATTTGGTTGACAATGCAGCAATGTCATCATTTATAGCCTCCTGCCAATTCAAGTACGGCGGAATTGCGAAGATTCCCGGCGAGCACCCTGGTACGTCATTTGCCAACACTTTGACTTTGCAGCAAACGCCGTCGTAGATCCCTATCATACATACCTCTCACTAGCAGCGGTGGCGTTGCTCCCACCCAATTCGTCAGAAGGAGCATCGTGGGCACTTTGTCCTCTAGATCCTCTATTGAACGCAACGTACCAGACATCCTCGTGGGCTAGAGCCCATATTCCAGCACCTAAAGTTGACGATGATGCTTTGGGTGATGCAGGCATATAAGCGCTCGCTTACCCGTCCTCGCACCTCGCCTGGATCAATGAACGGACCCCAATAACTTAAAGTAGCACACAACCGGTTCACAGTACAATACTTGTATGTTTTGTCTACCATAAGGCATCGCCCCAACGGACAATTAACAATGTTCCAAAAAAAAGTGCTTGCTAGATCATGTCGAAGAAATAGACCCCTGGTCGACGTCTGGATAGGCACCCGATTATAATATCTCACTGACTATCTTTGAAGTGTTTGGATGCAGTATCGCCTCATGCCATTCTTATGGAGCGAGAAATGTGCATCGTTGACAAAAGCAGAACTCTTCTTGACTTACCTCATTGCCGCATCTGTAAGTAAAGTGTCTCTTGAGGTGAACGTCACAGAGCACATTTCCGCTGCACGTGCGGCTGAATCCATTTAGGGTGTATACCTACGCTGCCCAAACCGTAGTGCTTGAATCACACCAGAATATTGTTATAGTCAAACCTGGCATTCTTCACAAAGCATATATTTTTATCTTCAGAGACACTTAGCTGCAATGCATATAGACTACATATTAAGGCCAGATAATCCCCAAATAGATTTCACCGCAGGCGGAGGGCACTCTGACCGCCGGGCTTGCCATTCACTGATCAGCGAGATGATATTATCAGCCTGTGGGTGAACAATGAATTCAAATTATATCAAAGCTATCCAGCAATATCGCACACACCTTTATCACCTTACAGATGCTTTCTTCTCGCCCAGTCAGGCTTGCATTATCAGGAAGTAATGCGGTGCGATCCACGAAACGTGTGGTGAATTCCTGGCGGCGTTCATGACTATCGGCTGTTTTCCATAATGTCGGTCCGGCGCGTTTGACCATGGATTGGACGGCGCGTACGTGTTGCACGCTAACCATCTCGTGCAACAGAATACCCAGACACTCGTGCATGATCGGTGCTTGGATGAGGCCAAATGAGAACATGTCTGCTATGAAGCAAGAAAGACCCAATGCGACATTCCACCGTTTGGTTTCAAGTCTATTCCGTGGGGAAATAGCATCCGGGTTGTCCTGTACGATGGTGAGTATCCGTCAGAAGGAACTGCGATGATACGCACAAGAGAACACCAGAATGATTTGAAGTGCTCTACGGCATACTTCTGCATATGGGACACGAAGCAGCTAGAGTGCCACTCGGAGTAATGGATCGTCAATGCATCACGCACGTCTCGGGCAAAGAGCGCCGCCTCCAGTCCAAAATCCACTATATTCGCTTTGGCTAAAATTTCCCAGCAGAAAAGCTGAGCAAGGTCGCTTAATGTATCGAATGTCCATGGACCCAACTTCATCAGGATAGGTGGCAAAGCGGGATTGGATGCCAGCAAGCCAATGTCAAGGATATGCAACCATGTATCTGGTGCGTAAATGGGTAGAGGAAAATAGCCATACTCTACAAAGCGGCCAGGAACAAATGTCGTGGCATTTGGGTTGAGCTCGGATGACATGGGTTGGGCCGCCTGAATGCGACGCGAGTAGACGGCTGGCACAGCGCCCTGGACCAGAGCCTGACTAAGTTGGTCATACTCGAGCCCGTGAGCTTGTGCTTCGTCATCGATCAAAGTCGTGTTGCTGTTGCAGGGGGGATTATCCAAGGATTGATCGGGCGTGCCAGCGCTCGACTGCCAGGAGAAAGCTGTATATGGACTCTTGTCGCCTCCGAACGATGATGCTGCACGTCCATAGAGTTGGTTCATTTGTGACATGCGTTCACCAACAACAGTCGCCATGGCTAAAAGATGAGGGGATGAGTTGACAGATAGGCTGAGGGGATATCTGGGTTTTTGGTGATAAGTACAATTCCAATCCAATGATAGTTTATCAAGTGGGCAAAGGCCACAGCCATGTCGAGCTTTGTCGTGGTGGTGGACCTCCAGCCAGGTCCTGAACAATGATTAATGACCGTCAAAGCATAGTCAAAGCATAGTACAACGCGACTGGCATCCACAGCGCGCGTCAGGTCAAAGGAATGGATACGAGCAGCAAGTGCTAGACCTCTCTGCTTCAATGGCTTCAGATGCTCGAGTACTTTACTTGGTCCCATGCACAAAACTTTTCGTCTGTGGCACAATTCTTGTACTTGTAGTGAGGTGATTGGACGACTTAATAAGAGCCAAGAACCTGTTGCTTCACCATCATTCCGAGCATTAGAGGTATATATATTTTTGTCCTCCATCATGTCTCTGGTAGTATATCGGATAGTACACCCGCCTGTCACAGCTGCAGCCTGTGCGCGGGAAAGCGGGGTTCGATTCCCCGCCAGAGAGAGTTTTTGCATTGATTGAGTTTCGTGGAGTCATCCACATTTGAAATTTGATGCTTGGAAAGTACTTGCTTTCTCGATATTATGGTCAGCTTCCTGGATTTTCGAGCTGCTGTTTCATGCAAATAAATGTTTTCAAATTCATCATTTTATCATATTGCTGATAGTAGCCATCGATGTCACATCGTTTAATCATCGACATCGATCGTCCAACGCGACGAGAGGAACCGCAAGGCTTGACAAGAATTCATAGAGATCTCGTTGTGAAGGTATCAACAGTCTAAGATCCCTACAGATCCTCAGAGGCCCCAGGTTGAGCACTCAGCACTGAGCCCTCTGCAGCATCTGTCTCCGATTGGATGATCGATCGTTTTGTCCATTAGAGACAACTTTCCTTCATATCGATGCCCGAACAGTGTTGTATACAAGTAAAGATTGGGACCCTGTTGTTTGTCCAGCTCCGCAAGTAAACAGAAGCGGTAAGACGAAAAAAATGAAATCTGGTCTAGTATCGATATGAAAGTAGCTGTAAGTTAAGATTCAGTCCATCAAGGCCATACTTACTTCTACATTAGAGGTGGAGAGTCTACGTGGCAGTCCAGGTTTATAACGTTGTCACATTGGGTACATTATTATAGTCCATCGTATTGAAAGCGCAACTAGGCAGGAGAAAGCGCTCCTATCGGTCCTGATATGGCATTATCGGCCTCTCCCTATGTACAGTAGTGATCCTAAAGTCCCGAAACAAATATTACCGTGCGAGATCTCGAGCAAAATGGAAAAAGTCTACACTAGAGCTGTTAACGCCGTATTTGTAGATCTGCAAGATGAAGGGATGAGTAAGCAGCAAAAATGGAAATACGGTTGAAACTCACGTAATGTGAAGCAACCCAGCTCGAGAATAGAGCACGTTGGTATGATTCGGGAAGCCTCTCCAACAGGGCGTCGAGACCGACCTGATCCACCAGGGTGGTGGGTATAGCACGTCTCATGACGCCCCTGCGGCTAGGTACATCATCAAACAAGTCAGAGAGTTCAAGCTCTGCCTGCAAGTTATTGAGCCTCATGGACAGCTCGTCCGAGATCTGCGTTCGGGGCTTAGCGCCTTGGAGGCGAGCGTGCTCACGCCAGATACAGTGGAACTCCGCTGCGGCATTCTCCGAAATCTTGTCCTGAATCTCTTTGACGTATTTTTGATAGAAGTCTGAAGGCTTGGCGTCCTTGAAGATCATGAGGTCGAGGTATTCCTGGGTCGTGAGGGCGAGACCAGCGAGCACTTCAAGCGACGAGCTGGTCACACCGCCTGAAGCAAGGTCAAGACCATATAACAGATTATACAAAAAAGTAATCTCACCCTTGTTCGCACTAGAGTCCTTGAACAAGACAACCTTACGTTTCTCCAAGTGCAACCGTGCCTGCTGAGTGAAGAACAGATTTGCACCCTCGACGATGTACTTGAAGTGGGGTTTGCCTTCTGTATCCGTCAAAGCAGCAACATTAGAGACGTTCACAGCTTCAGGACTGAATGATCGTCAGCTGGTGTTTGGTGCAGGTGGTGACGCAAACATACCGTCCACCGCAAGGCACAAAGAGATCTGCCTTGAAACGGAAGTGAGCACCATTCCTGAAGTCGGTACCGTCCAGGACGATTTCTCCGGCTAACAACAGCATGTGAGATAACAACGAACTTCAAGAGAACCAAACATACAGGGTAGCCTGACGTCCTGTTCCTCGACCTTGACAAGGTACCCGTCCTTGCTCAACTTGGTCTTGTCAAAGTGGGCGATGGTCAGGCGATGTTTGGCGAGGCGGATGAGTTCCTCCCTGTCAATACCTGCAGAGTCGGCAAGAACACCACTGCCATCGATAATAGCAATGGTCTTGTCAGAACTCAAGAGTATCTCATTTGAACCAAGATCTCCGTCTATAAAATGAATGTCAAGGACGACTTCCTAAGAGTAAGGACGCAAACATACCAGGACCACCGGTTTGAACTTTTGTGACGTCCTTCTCCCTCAGTCCAAGCTGCTTGTAAATGCCAAGCACATATTGACGAATAGACAGCGACGTCATTCCATATGTATCATGGGGAATACCACCCAAAAGCTCGGCACTCTTGCCAGTGGTGAACGACTTCCACCATGTCTCGGCACCACGATCGCGAGCGTGCAACGCCGCCCAATCCATCATGTCTGCTGTACCCTCTACACGACATGTCAGTCACCTCCATGGTATATCGGACATGCAATCCTACCATCAGGGCCAAAGAACAGCAACTCTGGCTTGCCATACAAGTCAACCAGGCGTTCCTTAATCCCTGGAGTTTGGCCAGGGATAAGCAGGTCGATGATAGCCTAATTGAATTATCAGTATCTATCCATTGACGCACAATTGCGCACTTACATCGACATATTTCTCGAAGCAGCGTCTGGGCGGGGCTCCAAGACTGGTGAAAGGTACAAAATCATGCAAAGATGGAAGGTGAAAATCACGCACGAAGGCAAAATAGTACCCTTGGCACCTCCTTCCGGAATGTCCTTGTTCTTCAAAGATTGAGTAGCAGCTAATCCGTAGTTTTCATCGAACAACATCCTCTGGTTGATCGAATAGTTTCTAGTTGCATAGAACTTTAGCGATATGATTCCGAAGTCCAGAAACGGCGCACGTACTCTTTGTTCCGCGACATGACGATTCGAATACCGCCGCGGGCAACATCTCTGAAGCGGATGTGGAAGCCACGGAATTCATTTCCGATGATGATGAACATTCCGAAAGGTTTGTTTGGATACTCGATCTCGGGCAAAAATTCAGGGGCGAGACGGAACGACAATGCGACCTTCGTGGGTTGATAGAAGTTCGTCTTCAAAATGTGCCTACGCAAAGTCAGCTACCAATCAATCATTCGCTTTTAGACTCACTTGTTGAAAATGAGGAAACTCTCGAGAACTTGTAGATCCTGCTTGTTCAGGACCGTACGTCTGATTTTATCGTACAACTCAGAGTCAGACAGGGGCTGCGTAGTTTGAAGACGCTGGTAAGAGAGAGTAGGACTGGGCGTGTCTCGTCAAAGTCACCTAAGGCAAATATATTAGCAGACTCACCCGAGCTGCGATGCCTCGTCTGCAGCTGGATAATGTACCATGGCGAAGTTAACATAGAGGAGACGAATCTGTTGGAAAGATATTAATGTGACATCCGAAGCGAAACCGGCAACGCACAATTTCCGCATGAGCATGGATGACTTGAGCAATACTCTCCCGCGTGAAAGTCTCCTCCCTGAAGCGTCTCTTGATATCATTGAGAACTTCGGCGTGTGAGGGGTTCGATTCGTCCAGGATATTCTTGAGGTGGAGGTACGCGGGACCCAAGCGATTGCAGAAGTGTTGAGCGAAAACCCAACCACAATCTAATGAACAATTAACTCAATTCCTGTCTCAAAAATGTTGAGCATACAAGCATAAGTCGCCTCTTGCACAGCATGTCCAGAGTTAACAGAATCGAGGAAGAAGGGGTTATCGGGAAGACAGTAAAGCAGAGATGCTTCTTTCATCACTTGGAATATGGAGTGCTCGATCGGCGCGCCGGTTGAGTCGGGCATCGGATTCAGGTATAGAGAGATGATTGTGATCCCATTGGAGAATTGTTCTACATACTTTCGGGCCGAGTACAGCTGGTAAAAGTGATAGAGGTTCGATAGAGCGCTGCAAGCAGGTTGAAGGGTACCGTGCTATAACATAATAGGTCAACACACCTGAAAAAACGGGAAGTGCCGCCCATCTTGTATCCGATGACAAGACGCCTCTCACGAGTGCCTTCAACTTCAAATACTTCCATGACAGGACCGTAGCGACTCTCGACTTGCCACATGATTTTCTGGTACACTTCAAGAGTATGCGGGCTCGCTTTCTCAAGGAAAGCAGTGTCGGAGACCGTACGGATATCGGTAAGTCCATCAGTCCGAGTTGAGGGGGGTGGTGGAGAAGGGAAGCTGCACTTGGTAATGAAGTAACAACGCAGCTGTTGAGATGCTGTTGCCGATATAGATCCAGTGGATCGAAAAGTCTCAAGGCGGTAACAATTCGACGGCGTTGAGTTGTCGAGGTATAGGGAGTCGATTCTGTGTCAGGCACAAGATTGGTATAGCAATTGTGAGCTGCATCAGATAAACATACCTGGATTCACAGGTAGCGCCAGGCCCTTCGGTAGAAGTCAGACCCGGCAAACTGGTGTGAATGAAAGTTGCCCCATTTCCTTTTTCGTCGATCTTCTCGAGGTCGATGACGAGCTTATTGAAGTCGTGCTTGGTATAGGCGAGCACCTTGGCACCAAAGAGCGCGATGATATGATCAGATATCACAGAGGGCGATTCATTTTGAAAGTAGGTGTCATCGATGCCGAGCTGAGAGTAGAACCAGTTGACTTCGTTTGCGACCAGCTCGCGAGGAATGAAGCCCTATGAATGTGACGCAAATATTAATGCTCGCTGTGACTCAGAAAGATGTAGATTACATTACCTTGCCAGCGACATCTGCTTGCACCTTGGCGCGTTGTTCTTCCTTGCCTTTGAAGACTGGGGTAGTATAACCAGGTAGGTTCTTGACGCGCTGCAAGGATGCCTCGCTACTAGCCCTCGAGCTTGCACTAGAAAGACCGTTGAGGTGAGTCATGTTTGGGAGAACTCCTAGACTGGGATGAGGCTGGGACGGCGTCGAGGACATCGTCTAGCAGTGATTATAGATATCTATAGAAAAATCTACAGGTAAGCCGCGTCTACTTAACCAAGAATCAATTGATGCAGTGAATCGGGGGATAACAATGGTTTTAATAGTGACAAGAATCAACCTCGTATTTATACAGATTTATGGACCATAACTCAAGTTTTGAGCCTTCCGACACTGTACGGATCTTGTCAAGGTATAATCTGGTATGCCAATCAAAATAGCAACAAATAAAGAAAAAAAATTGGAACAATTCGGAAAAGGTCACTCTGCTGCTAGGTATAAA